TAGTGTCATAATTAAAAAGTGTGCTTTGCCAGTAGTTAGTTTTTGGAGCAAACTTGAGAATAAATAACTGCAACCTAGATTCTTTCTCCTGCTTATTGATTTTTTTAGATGTATAAATAAAAGTCCATATGTCTTTATGTAAATAATTATAAACCTTTCTATTTCTTAATAGACTTGACCCCCGATGGCGTTTCAATTGTGATAAAATTCATAATCATGGACAAAAATTAATCTAAATTATGTTCATAAAGGATTGTAGATGCTCGTTGGTCAATCGTGTTCTTTCGCGTTAATTTTCACACGAGCACATAAATGCGTTTCCAAACAAAGCGATTATTCTTAATGCAAAACTCGGTAATTGATCTTATTTATTTTTTGATAAGAGTATGAATGAAGTACTATATTAGTTATAAAATTGCACGTATTTTACAAAAATTTAACTTTCGGGTCGTTTGTTTTCCCATCAATAACATTCCGATTTCCATACTCAAGGGCCCCATTCCGGATATGAATTCCTGGGGTATTTACAGGATTCTTTGCCACTGTGGTTTAATCTATATTGGTCAAGCTAAGCGAATCTTAAAATTTCGCGTTACGGAACATGAGGCATATGTTAGAGAAAAGGAAACACAGAAGTCTTCTGTTGCCCAGCACTGTTGGTCCGAAAATCACATTTTCAATTTTTCTGAAGCCAAAATTATTCAAAAAACATCTTCCATTGGTGAATTAGATTTTCTAGAAACATTTCACATTCAAGAAAATCTTTTTGTTCTTGTTAACGACCCTAATTCCAATCCATTTTTGCCCTCAGTCTTTAAGGAAATTATGTTTTAGTTCTCGTTTCATCAGCAGATAGCGCCAATAGCTTAACTCCTGTCCAGTCGTTCTTATCTTATCTTAATCACTGTATCTTATCTCGTTCATTCGCGCTTTGGCAGCTGAGGATGATGGTTCCCTAAAACCATCGAAATCCATCCTGTGAAAATTTGGAAATACAACGCTGATTTTTGTTGTTTGACTTCTAAATTAATACTTGTTCGGTGTGTTATTGTATCATAAATAGCATTTGTAAACAACATATGTATTTTAAAAATTGCGAGCTACCTCTATGGAAAATATAAAATTCAGAATTAATTTTTAAAACGTTATATTTAGTCTTTCCTAATGTGCTTATACAAAATAGGTGAAAAAAATCATCGTGGGTTTAATAGTGCTTATAAAATGATATGCATATGAAACCCTACAATTTGTACATACTTTAAATGTTGAAAATGCAACAAATTTCTTGTGTGTTTATATGTAAAAAATCTGTGGTGAGTCTTATTTCATAAATGAATTGTTAATGTTTTAAGTTTTTAAATGGTAAAAAATTCCAGTAAGTTGGAACTGTATTGTAGACCTAAAATTTGCAGATGTAAAATGGAAACATTGTTTAATGTAAACAAATTGAGTAATAAAGTATTGAATAACAGCAATTACCTGTCTATTTTCATTTTGTAGTCCAATGCAAAAAGAATAAGCTTGGCAGAATCTAATCTCTATCTTATCCAATCAATAATATCTTATCTTGCTCATCTACGCTTTTGCAGCTGAGAGTGATGGCTCGGTAAAACCATCGACTCTAGTAAAGTTCCTGTGAAAATTTGAAAACATACCGCTGATTTTTGTTGTTTGACTTCTAAATTAATATGAATGAAAGTTAATAAACTACGCATCTTCAAATCTTTGAATAAGATTTATATTACACTGTAAATTAATTAGTTCTGTTAACAGAATTTTTCTCACTCGTTATTCATGTTTGTTTATAATGGTAATGAAACTAATATAAACTCGGACTTCAAATAACTACAATCTTGAAATCTTTGGATCACTGGCGTAGCATTTGTTCCAAATACATAACTGAAATATGTTCTCGGGCCGCATATTAAAATAATATTATCTCCAGCCCGCGGAACTGTGTATCGAAAATTCTAAAGATATTCTCATTTTAAAATTATTTTGCGACATTGCTGTTGAACTGAATTTTATAGTTTAAGTGCAAAAGGAGCTTTGTCCCTGAAGGACAATTGTTTCCGTTGAATCGCTATAAACGGCGAAAACTTTTCAAACTGTTGCCACCAATTGTTAGAGCCCTGCATTATATTTGAAGAAATTAAATAATGAAAAATCTGCATAAATGTGTATATAGTTCTCGCATTGTGATAAAACAACGGTACATAAAGCAATCGAATTTTGAATGATGTAACACTCCTACAAATATGGTCATGTGGAAGACCAAATCTAAAATTTGGAATTTGTTTTATTATCGATTTCATAATTTGTAAAACTTTAACTTAATTGAGTAACAAACTCAACGATTTCAAAGCGAGCAATGGCAACATTCTACAGGGAAGAGAAGCCTTTTTAACTCCAGCGCGCGGAACTGTGAATCGGAAATTCTACATATAGGCTCATTTTAAAATTATTTTGCGACATTGCTATTGAACTGAATTTTACGGTTTAAGTGCAAGGAATATGATATTGAATAAATAAAAGTAACACCCAAAGCGTTAAATAGAACGCCTCTTTGGCTCAAACTTTAATGAATGTTTGAGTAAGAAACTCAACGATTTAAAAGCGAGCAATGGCAACATTCTACTGGGGGGAAACCAAGGAGGTTAGGGGGAAAGCCTTTTTATATCAAACGCGTTTATCTGAAATTCTAAAGATATGGTCATTTTAAAATTGTTTTGCGACATTGCTGTCGAACTGAATTTTATGGTTTAAGTGCAAAGAACACGATATTCAATAAACAAAGGTTAAAAAAAAGGTCCATTTGAACGTAATTTAAAATTTGAAATCTTTCAGATTTTTTTTTTTTTTTTTTTTTTTTTTTTTTTTTGAACGATAGACAGGGTACAAGTGTGACATGATAGTTTGATTTTGAGTTGTAGAAATGAAATAAGGAAATCTTTAGCTCTTGAAGGCTTTAATATTGCAAAATTTAATCTAGGAAACATATTTGTTGTTAAGAAGTGGTGTTAGAACTAGTCTGAGCATATGTACCACATAAAAAAATAATTCTTTATTTTATATTCTAGGATGTTTTATCATTTTGATTTATGTATCAATATTGTGTACCTCATTTTACAAATGCTATTAAAATGCTCATTTACTACTCAGTATCATAACCTGTATCTTATGCCAGAAGTCTAATTATATGTGATAGGCTTCATTCTTATCTTTTTCCCCAAAAAATTATCCTGTTATATTGCGAGAGAAAAGTATGTAGTCCTTTTATTGAAGCTGAGGTGTTCGTTTGCACGATATCAAATGCATATATTTGAAAGATTTATTTTCTTAATTAAAACAGAGAATATTTCAACTACAGAAGAAAATCGCATAACAATTTAAAGTGTAAAGAAGGGTAAAAAGAATCTTACTTCTGATGTGCAAAAACAACAATGTTTTTTAGTGGATTTAGCAGGAATTAATGAACCAAGATGTTTTGCAGTAGGTGAAAATTTTTATAAAACCGACTTAGACTCTATCAACAAGTGAGAATACAGTTTAGGAAATACTGAAAAGTTCGTTCAAGTGAGTTCTACTTCTACTGAAGAATGCATGAACAGAAAAAGTGTACGACAACTTGTCTAAGTAATAGATACCTACCGAAACGAAGCAAACTCATATATTCGATTAATGGAACCTCCTAGAACTATGTAATTGCGAGCACTTTTGCGTGAAATAAAATTACTTCTATTCTTGTTTCAGATAAATAAATATGAAATTGTTCTGAAATGAGGGAAAGATACCTAAATTTTCAAGACTTTTGTTCTATCGTATATATATATGTATATATATTATATTATATTTTTAAACGAAGTATTGCACCAGTATTTCGCAGTCAGTTGCACAAATCATTTCTTCTCAGCTATTTATAATTACAAAATTTCGTCCAGCAAAGCCTAAGGTTTCCTTGTATTTTGAGCAATCGAAGAACTGCATTAATTACATATACACCTTAGTATATGAATTCAATGCAGTTCAGCAGTATATAGAATGTACTGGTGGAAAGTAATTTTTGTTATGCAGAGTGAATAGGGAAAGTTGAAGTCTGTGCTAAGTGTTGCGACAGTAAAAGCTATGCTAGTTGTAAGACCGAAGCTGGAACACTGAATGGGGGAAGTTTTACTTTGTAGAATGTTGAAAAGCTGAAATTTTCTGAAGATAACATCTTTTGGAAAATATTCATGTTATTATTCTGGCAAAATACTATTAACCAGTGTAATTAAACTTTTGCTGGAAGAATGCTGGTAGGCTTAGCATATCATGCCGAGTTCCCCTTTACGTCTCCCAGGAATACGGATATATGACACGAAGTATGTTTGTTAGTCATATTAAGAACTTCAGTTCTTTTTAATATGCATCTGAAACAACCGCTATCATCGCGAATCGAAATATAGGACAATGAATAAATTATGCTCTTAAAATTTAATGTGGTATCCATTTCTGATGATTCTAAATTTAATGATTTGAAAATTTAAAGGCTTTACATTGCCTTTAAATAAACTATCAGGCATGAAAAATTGAAGTGAGGTACTTTTTGTATGCTAAATTTTTCTGATTGAAACAGGGTCAACTTTCATCTCATTTTAATGACAGGGAATAGATGTCATATGAAAGAGAACCTATTGTCCTTGCTGTGCGCTTTCATAGGCTTGAATTCTTATAAGTGTTCTAATTAGAATCTTCGTGTTTAGCCAGGAAAGGATTATGCTTTTGAAATTAAAACTGTTTATTTATTTATTTATTTTAAGCTTCATGGAAGTATTTTTAATTACTTTTGGTTACTTTCGCTTTTATAAACAGTCTTGTTATTGACCTGAAGTGAAACAGACGTAATAATCTGCTATTTGATTGGTTGCAAAAAGAGATTTTTTCCGTCGTGTTGTAAATGAAATTTTATGATTGGCTTTTGCTATCACGTGATTCATTTCCTAAGTGGTTTCCACAAACGCGCATACTCGTTTTAAGTCTGCTCTGCAGAAAATATTGAAGATAATGCAGAGCTATGCATTACTACGTACGGCTTAATTTTTGAATTCTTACTGCATTTCGCTGAACTGTAATGCGCTTCCTTGCTTCATGTTTTTATGATTTCAATGTGCTTTGATCATATAAAATGTGAATTTTTAAATAGAGTATTGTGCAATAGAGCATTATCAATTTCTCTGCAGATCGACGCCGAAATTTTGGAAAGGCTTTAAAAATCAATACATATTTAACTACAGACTTATTTCAAACAATAAATATTTAAAGATCAGTCTGGTAAGATTAATTAAATTTTGCATTTTAATAATCTCATTTATTCTTGCGCACGTAAAACCCAGTAAACTGGCGTACATAAATATCATTTCTTTGCATATGATGTGATACGAATAATGAAAATAGTGTTTAGTGGTAGTTTTTGTGTGATGCAAGTATTAGAACAAGCCTTACATCTGACTTGATTTTCTGTTCTCTTATTTATTTATGCATGGCATAGCAGAAAAGTATTAGATCATTGAATATAAATGATATTACTAAATTATTTTCTGTTTATAAAATTAGGAAAAGCCGAAATTAGCTGCTTTATTTTCTTGAAGAAAATTACTTTTGTTGATTTTTCATACATTGTTTGCATCCAGTATATGCTGGATGAAACATAAGTATGTATAAAGAAGAAAAATATTAATGTCTGGTTCTTTAGAATTGTAACAGTACTATCAGGTTACTTCAGATTTGTGTTAATTTTGCATATAATATTTTCAAAGTATATACTATGTGTAGCAGTCTGCCTTTATAGAATGTGAGTGATGTTCATATTAAAAAGTGCAAAGGATGTCAAATCAACTGAACTGAGATAGATAGAGTAGATATCTGCTGTCTAGCTGTGGGTTGTGAAATTTATTTTGTGTCTAAAATAATGATAAAATTAACAAATAACACTTCTACGATATATTGATGTAATAGAAGTCGCTGATTGTTTGTAGGATAGAAAGAAGTAAATAGAAAAGAATATAGAAGGGAAGATTCAAGATAAAGTATTGAAATTGTAATTGTGTGTACAACTAAATAATTGTATATTTGTTTGTTATGAATAACTCTATTAATTTAAATCATACAAATTTTAACCCTATGTAACTTGTCAGAACCATTTGGATTATTATGATAATGTAAATGAGTTCTCAGGACTTTTTTTTTTTTTTTTTTTTTTTTATTGTTTGTGTAAAATGATATTGGAATTCATGAACAGTGCATTTGAAAATTTATAGTATTGCCTTTAAATTCGATTAAATGTGATGAACTTCCAACCAATCTGGCCACTGATGAACTTGATTAAAATTTTTTTGCCTGATACCTTTTAAAATCAGAAATTTCAGAAATTATTCTAATGCTTATAACATAAAATCATCATAAAAATATTAATTATTTCATGTTAGAACCATAAAAGAACTGTTGAAAAGAAACATAAACATATCTCAATAGCTGCATTGAAGGAAAATTTTTCAGTGAAGCTTGAAACCTTCTATAGATGACCAGACTTAATTTAGTAATGTTAATGTGAAAATAATTAGTGTATGAACTAACTTCTGCTGATGATCAGACTTAATTTAAAAAAGCAGAAATTTCTAATGATATCAGATTCCATGAAAGGAAACTTATTTAAATATGTTCAAATATAAAGATATGATTAGTGCTGAATTATTTGACATTGTTATTGACCATTATTAGTATATATTAAAATGAACAGTTTATATGCATCAGTATTAGTTTTATATACTTGTTTAAGAATAGTTATTCAAACTAGTTTTTGAAAGAAACTCAGTTTGAGATCATATCCTCATTTTCTATTTTTGTTTCATATCAGAATTTATAGCAAGCTTCATTATGTGAAGTTGTATTTTGTGTTTTTTATTATCCTGAGTTCCAATAACTTCTAACCATAATCCTAACTATTTATCAACTTACCATTCTCAGAAACATACATAAAATAAAAAACTGAAATTATTTCAAAAGCACAAATTTTGAAAGAATTACAAAGTTTATTATTTTTTATTTAAAGTAAAAGCCAAATATAGTCTTTTTTTAACGTGTCTTAATCAGATTAAATATATCCATCATTATTAAATGATGATTCTTAGAAAATTAATAATAATTTCATATTCTGTAGAATGATAATTATGGAATTATGTATCGGGACTTGCAAGATTAGTAGCTTTTTTTATGATAAATGCATCTGGCATAAATAAAAGAAAAATAAAGTATCCTAATTATTTATTTTGCATTTTCAAAAAAACTTGATTTAAGTAAGTAATGTCAAAAATAATAAAGCATTCTTTATTGCATTATAATCCATGTAAAATACCAATTTTTATAGGGCTGTAACAGGAAAAAAAAGAGTGGTATGAAATTTAAACATGGCTTAAAGTTAGACATAAAAGTTGAATATAAACATAATAGTTAACTGAACATAACTGTAACAGTTCCTGTATTGGAATCTAAAAAATATTTAATTTCCAGTGACAGTTGATACAATGAAACTTCAGCTTATGAACACAATGCATTTCTGAAGCCATACATCAGCTGAAATGTTTGTAAATTAGAACTAGTTTTTCTATAGAAATCAGGGCTTAATTTCTATAATTAGAATTGCCAGAGCCCCATGGAAAATATCAGGAAGGAAGGAAACAATAAATAAATAGCATAACTAAAAATTTGAATAATTACATAAATCAATTAAAAAAAGAAATGTAAAGAGATAAAGATTAAAAAAATAAATTATTGGAGCTCTACATATTTTGGGCTCTGACTGGAATTACAAGTCTATGCAGAAGCTGTGAAGTACCATGGCTAGTTTCTGTTTGAATTTAAGCCCTGATTATGCATATAATTTACTATTTCAAGGTATGATAGATACAAAAACCATTCTTTTTTTTTTTCAGCATACCAATGAAAAATGATAAAACAATTAAAGCGTCACAAAGGACAATAGTGAGAATTCTAGAAACAGTATCATGATATGAGAAACTAAAGTGGGAAGAGTCCAAGATTTTCTAATCCTGATGCCCTGTCAATATACTTTACCCTCAAGCAGAAATTTTCCCTTAAATATGTTCTGATAGCAATGTGAGAATAAATGTAACACTCCTCTTTGCAAGTGATAGTAGTGGTCTTCCGTGTTTCATTATACTGTCCAAAAAGTGTACAGGAGTTCTGCAGTAGAAAGTCACTAATGTGACACGTGCTTGACTAAGGTGATGCATTTTAGCTCTTTCAGTAACGAAAAATTGACCCGCTCTCATAAATTCATTGCATTTCCTGGAAAATTAGCCTTTGGCATATGGATGGGGTCTTTTCTTTCGGTTAATCTTTGGAATATGGTAACAGGTAGTTTGGTGACATTTTAGTAAGGCGATAAAGGTTACTAGCTAGGACTTAGCAGTGTACATGGATAAAGTCAAGAGTGTGCGCAATGCCATTTTTGTGCAATCCTGGGATGTTTTTTTAAGTGAAAAGAGGTTGACGTGTACATGGTTACCGTGTATGTGCAATTCTTAAAATGCGACAAGCAGTTTGCGATTCTGCACTTTCTTCCAGTTTCGCGCCTAATCTTTGTATATTAGCAAAATCCTTTATATATTAGCAAATGTATATCGGAAATTCTATTTGATATAATCGAAAGTTCAAGCTTACTTTTATAAAATTGTTCTAACAGTCTGGAAAAAATAATAAGCCGGATCCAATTCATAGGTTAAGGAACAACGCAATCTGCAACATTAACTGAATTAGATAATTTTAGCTTAGCTTATACCATCCGTTATACATTAAATGCACATGCGTAAACGTATTATGCGCTTGCGCACACGCATATTCACAGCCGTAAAGGTCTTACGAGCACGCGTGAACGTCTATGCGCATGGGTCAAAGCGACGCATGCGCAGAAAGTTTGTAGCTTTGAGGTCCGGATTATGGGTGTCTGAATTAACGACTTTTGACTGTATAATGTAAGAAAAGCTTATGAACTAAACAAAAAGGACCTGTGAGGTCAAGAATTGTGCATGGGTTACAGCTTATTTTTTTAATAAAAAAAAGAAGTAATAGATGCTACAGGAAAAAAATTGATGGCATAGCAATTTATTTATATTAATTACCATTTATTATGAAATAGAAAAACTGGCATTAGTTATTTCTAAGAAACAGTATATAGCTTCGATGGCATCTTCTTTGTTGGAAGGGCTAAGAAGAGTCTTTCCACATTAGCTTGCGTAGGTGGAAGAGCTGTTACTGTTAGGGCTACTTCTTTTAACTTTTCAGGGTAGATTTTTATAAGTCCTAAAAGAGGTGTCTTGCCCAATCATCATTTCTTCAAAGGCCATGTAGAAATCTTGTTTGTATTTTTTCATTTTTATATCTGGATCTTTATTTTCATTCGCTTTGCCTAAGCCTTTTCAATATTATCCAAAAATATTTCTCAAAATCTAATTCATAACTGGAAGAGTATGATAGAGGCTCAATTGCAGTGTCTGCAGTTTGACTGTACCGATTGGAATTCTCCAATTGTTCTTAGAATAATTTCATTCTTAATGAAAGTTCATAGATGACTTTCTTTGCCTTTTTAATTTGTTCGTCATCCCAGAAAATTCGGTGTTTCGAACCTATATATATTGAACCCAGCAATATCTCATTGTCTAGCAAACTAGTTTCTCTTTTCTTTATTGAAGAAATTATTCCTTCTGCAATAAACCCTCCATTTCAGAAAGAATAAACATCCCATTCTTCCATTTTCGCCTCCTGTCAATTCTTCAGATTGCAACTTTTTTGTCAACTTTATGGTGTAGAAAGAAGAGTTTCCAGTTCTGCAAGATCATTCCACAGTCTTTCTGTTAGTGAAACATTAGGATTATCTACATCTTCTAAAAAAGTTTTTAATTCTAAAAACTCTTTATCATCAAATATGTACTTTCTTATCGCGTTGCTTGATCAATAATTGCTCCTTTTCCTGTTCGCTTCCTAAGATAAAAACAACAAAGATTGGCACCTTATTGGTGACCCAGATGTGATAGATTATGTAGATGATTAAAGATGGTCTGCGAAAGGAATTCGCAACAAAAGGAAAAGGAACGTCTGTAACAATGTCACAAAGAGTATTGGCATTGCTTGAGTTCCAGCTTCAAAGATGATACAGTCAACAGTCTTTAATCCGGACTCGTCGGGTCTTCGACGATTCCGGATTATAGATCATCAATTTAAATCTGGTAAGATGGCAAGCAGAAATTATAAATTAAAAATTATGAAATGAAACTGTAATTATTTATGAAATAAAGAGCAATTATGATCTAAAGGGTATCAAAATTTACAAAAAAAAAGCTTAATATTTATTTATTTACTTTATTAAACATTTCTGTCAACACGCGCATGCGTAAAGCATACATTACGCATAGTCGAAATTAGAAAATTTCAACCAGAAAACTATTTGATGTGTATTCGTGATATTTATAATGACGAGGAATTTGATTTAAATCATATCAAAGACTGAGTGCATCGAGATGAAATACTTCATTTAGTAAGGAATTATAAGCTGAATAAAATAAAAACATCTGCCCTGAATATAAGGATAATGCTGACAGATCAACTTCCAGTTCATTGCGCGCCGTGGCGTTTCCCCTCCTCCCTCCGCAGAGCAGTGTGAAATTTCGGAATGGTTAGAGAAACAAAGGATATGCCTTTATCCATTTTTTGCAGCAATTGCACTTTTTGTTTGATGAACATCGAAACATTCTTTCTCTTTGTAGATCCTTTGGCAGCTCCAGAATCGGAAATTCTTTTTGACGTAATCAAAAGTTCAAGCTTACGTTTATAAACTTGCTCTAACAGTCTGCAAAAAATAATAAGCCGGATCCAATTCGAAGATTAAGGAACAACGCAGTCTGCAATATTAACTGAAATAGCATAATTAGATAATTAGATAAGTTTATACCGTCCGTTATACATTAAACGCTCATGCGTAAACCTATTACACGCATGCATAAACGCATATGTGCATGCATACAGGTATTATGCGTTTATGCATGCACAGAAGGTTTGTAGCTTTGAGGTCCGGATTATAGATGATTCCAGATTATGGAAGTCTGGATTAAAGACTTTTGACTGTATATTGTTTTTGAAAAGGTTTTGTACCTCCGGATTATGCTGTCGAACTTTGGAAAAATTTTTAAAATCGAAAAATGGAGATTTTGTTATGGAATCACTTTTGATTCTTGAAAGGGTGTCAGCAACGATTTTTTAGAACCTTACATGTGCCTAATATTGGTTGAAGACTGAAAAATAAAATCTAAATGACATAATTGCCAATATTAGCATTTACGAGTGCTGCTTAAAAGCATATATAAATGGTTTCTGATCCATGTAAATTAAAAAATTCGTTCCCTGAAACGTTTGTTGGAATTTCTTAATCACAGAATAAATGGAAAATAATTCCCTGTCATATGTGGACCATTTCCGTTAACTTTTATCGAGTTTCATGGAGAAATATGCTATCGGTTCTCTAGGTTCCTGTGCTTCAGTAGATTTTATATGCTTAAAACATGGAAGCAACAAAATTTATGGCATTTTGCGCATTTCACTGTCAGGCTAAAATCAATGTCTCAATAACTGTTGAAATGGAAATCAAAGAAATGAAAATCAAAGAATTCCTGATATATATCTTTAAGATCCTATATGGAGTACTTGTCAATCATAAGTGCAGGCCACAAGCCATCGCATAAGCACCTGGACTTATCTTGCCGCAGTACGCAAATTGCACCAACTACTCCAATACATCATGTTGGACATTAGTGATGCCCATTTTGTTTTAATTGTTTTCAATTATGGTATGCTGGAACATTTGCGCAAATACTGTCAGCAAGAATGCATTTGTGAATGTGAATTCCTACATCTCCACTGACAAGAACAATCTCAGATTTCCTGCATTTCTCATATAGGTCACACATATTAGGCTTAATGATAGTCATGAAAATTTGAATAGACTTTTCATCCTTCAGGATTGTTAGAAGAGCCTGAATCAATTTTTCACAAGTTTCCACTAATTTTCTAACATATATATCACACATCTGTATTTTTGCATGTGTTTGCAAATTATTCTTGTTTGCACTAAATATATTTGCTTATTCACTGCTACTATGCATAACACAATCCAAATTATTATGGCTCAAAAGAATATCACGAGTTTTACTGTAACTCGCTTATCCCTTTACTTCACGTTTTTTATCTGATACTGCTATATAAAGCCAGTCTGTGTTCTACATCTGCACTCCTCCAAAAATGGGTTGCTGTATTTATTGACAGCAATGTGGGCACAAGGCATGCTCCTTATCGCTATCACCATAAATACAAGCATTCTTATGTATGTATGCTAGGTCAGCCATGAAGCACGTATATCAGAATAGAGCGTTTTCAACTTCTGAAGTTAGGTTCAGCTAAATAGTTGGTGAGCAAAATTGACCTCAAATGATGTATGCATCTGAATGCCTGTATGCACAAATACCTAAAACTGTATATTGCCTGAATTATATAAGGAACTGCGGATCAGTGTGTCAAAAATTATTAATTTGATCCAGTTCTGAAAAGCTAAGATTTGGCCCACCAAAAGTAAACTGATCAGTTAAAATTATGATGCTTATTTTATGGCTGAAATGTCTACTGATGAATCATCCTAGATGATGTTTTTTTTTTTTTTTTTTTTTTTTTTTACTTTAATTCTTTATATTCTAAATTATAAGGAAAGAAATTAATAGTATAAATTTTAACCCGATTTAAATTATTTCTGAATGTATGATGCTCATTTTTAAATGAAAATATTGTTGGAAAATATTTTCATTATCTTTTGCTTTAATGTTTGGTTATCATTATAAATTGAATTAAGGAAATTGTTGCATAAAAATATGTTTTTTTAAATGCATTTAATATTTAATTTTTTTTTTTTTTTTTTTTTTTTTTTTTTACAGAATAAAGAAACATGCTGCATTATAAAGGAGCTATTGTTATCTTTGCATTTTGCTTTCATTCATTTGAAGTACTTGCTGCTTCAGACAAAAAAGACTATTCAGACTGGAAAAATCCAAATGGCTCACATGAACCACCTGTTCACACATGGGATTTTGAGTTTGATGATAAACAAGTGCAGGTATGTAATAAAATTATAATTCATTGTGTTTGTGTGTGCACCAAAACACTGAGAAAAGAAAGAAATTAAGAAAAACACTGAGAAAAGTTTGGTATATTGTTTAGTGCACTAAATTTTCTTCAAAGCCGACTTTAATTCACAAAAGTTTGCTAGTTGTATTTTTGATTTGAAAATGAATTATTTTGCTTTAAAACTAATAATGTATATGATGCAAATAAAAATAATACACAATACAGTCAAAAGTCGTTAATCCTGACTCGTCGGGACTTCGGCGATTCTGGATTATCGATTTTTCCGGATTATAGATCATAAGTTTAAATCTCGTAAGATGGCATGCAGAAATTACAAAATTAAAAATATGAAACCGTAATTTATGAAATAAAGAACAATTATGATCTAAAGGGTATCAAAATTTACAAAAAGAAAAAGCTTAATATTTATTTGTTTTGTTTATTAAACGTCTTTCAATGTAAGTTGTTTAAGTTGCTTCGTTTCATGTGATAATACTTTCTCTTTAATTCTATTAAACAGACATAATTTCTTGTTTAGTTACAAAGTTCTGCTGTTCAAGTCCTGTAATTGCTGTGTCGAGAATACCGACTAATTTGTCAATCGAAATTTTTTTGTTTTCAATAACCTCTGTTACTTTCTTTGCTATCGGAAGCGAATAATAATGACGAGGAACTTGTTTTAAATCATATCAAAGACGGAGTACATCGAGATGAAATACTACATTTAGTAAGGAATTATGAAGCCGAATAAAATAAAAAACATCTGCCTTGAAGATAAGAATAGAGCTGACAGATCAACTTCCAGTTTGTTCATTGCTGCGTCCGAGACGCTTTCCCCCCGCTGAGCAGCGTGAAATTGATAAACAGATTTCAGATTTCGAAATATACTTTCGCTTTAGATCCTTTATATATTAGCAAATATATATCGGAAATTCTATTTGATATAATCGAAAGTTCAAGCTTACTTTTATAAAATTGCTGTAACAGTCTGGAAAAAATAATAAGCCGAATCCAATTCGAAGATTAAGGAACAACGCAATCTGCAACATCAACTGAATTAGATAATTTTAGCTTAGCTTATACCGTCTGTTATATGTTAAACGCGCATGCGTAAACGTTTTATGCGCACACGCATATTTGCAGCCGTAAAGGTTTTACGCGCACACGTAAACGCCAAGGCTACGCATGCGCAGAAAGTTTGTAGCTTTGAGGTCCGGATTATAGATCATTCCGGATTATGGGTGTCCAAATTAACGACTTTTGACTGTACTTGTTAAAGCACTCACTGTGTAAGCCTTTAACCCTTTGATTATGAATTTGAAAAAAAAAAAAAAAAAAAAACCTCCCTGTTTTCTATCTAAATGAACAAAATATGACATAAAATAAGGTAAAGATAGCATTTGGGATATTTTTGACAAACGGTTTCTCAAGCCAAAGGCTGGGGTACATATGTCCCAGTCGTAGTTAATGGTGGGATACATATGTCCCACATGTATCAATCAACTTACTGTAAGCATACCTATTATTCTCTGGAAAACTTTATTATATGAAAATGGGTTTTGTATCGTATGGTACAGGGTAAAGCACTCTTTGCATAACCCAACATTACACATTATAGAACTCTAACTTAATCTTTTCTCTAATTCATTTGTGTGCAAAGAGCACAACGGGACCTTGATTTTCCAGCTGTTGGAAGATAATCCCCAACATTCAGGATATTCTATGTACACTGCACACACACACAAAAAAAAAGACTGAGACAGTTCTATATCTCCCTTTCTACTAGGTCGATTGATGAAATTCAAGTTGCGTTTTTCCTGTTCCGAAAGCATGACTTCGGTTATATATTAAATTTATATCTAGCATTATTCTAACGTAGGTATTTTCACACAAAATTGGACTTTTTCTGAAATGGCATGCTATTTTTTTCCATATTTTGATTCCATGACTCAAATTATGCCTAAATATTAAATTTTGTAAAATTTGTTGCGAAATTTATCGAGAAATTCAAAAATTTATCTTGGCCGATTTTTTTTAGCTTGTGCCAAGAGTAATTTACTTGGCGATTTTCTTAATTTATAGCAACCTATTTTCCCTTCCTTTTTTTCATTGTAGACAAGACATGATACTTAATAAATAAAGGTAGCATACAAAACATTAAGAAAAACGCTGCTTTGGGCGCAATATAAATCTGGAAGCTTTCAGTTTATTATTATTATTATTATTATTAATACTTTTTCAAATACATGAAAGAAGTATGAATAATTTTAGTTTTTTTTTCCTGCTGTTTTCCCTCATCATTTAAGTACTATATTGTGCCTCTGTAATATAAAGTTTTTGTCTCCCGATTAATTATTGGCTGTATTATGATGAAAATCCGAAAAGTTGCCAAGTGTTGCTTACTAGTGTATATGTCTCTTTCATGTAAGGTTTTGATGTTTAAAGATGAAACAAATATAAGTGGTTAAAAGCATCAAAGGAAGGGTAATGGTAATAGATGATGCTTTTATTGATGAAAGTGAAAAATATACATTCCTAGTTTGATACACACCACACACCACACACACACACACACAAAAACAAAAAAAAAAAAAAAAAAATACAATGTTTCAAGCTTTAATATGATGTAGTATATTTTCTGTATACGCCAAGAATTTTTAGAACTGTGAAGTAAAATTTGGGGAGGGAATCGGCTTATATACAGCTCCACTAATCATGCAAAAATATAAGTTCTTTCTGTCAGCCTGGTGCAAATGATAAATCACTAAATATCTCATTTTCCTTAAGCATATGAAAAAAATTGTTTGTAATGCTAATTTGTTGCATCATCACCAAAATGAAAGATCTGATGTTGTTGATATTTGTATTTGTGTCCGGCTTTCTATACTCTCAAACTTGTTTTTAATTGAAATGTTGAACAGTCGTACTCTTGCTAGAAGTTTCAGTATGCAATCATCTGTAGTTTGAAATTTGCTTCTTAAGAATTTCTTTTCCTGCTTACCTTTCAGACAAAAATTAAATGGCACAGAAAATATGACTACCATAGATAGTATGCAAGATGGCAAATGAATGGAATAAATGTGCTGGCTTTGGATAGGGTTACCAGAGTTAAAACTATCATCAATGGCTTCTAGCATTTTGCTTTACAGTGATTTGATTGGAAAATAGTCTACCTACTTGACAAGTGACATGTTTGAGTATAAGAGGATTTTTTTTTTTTTTTTTCATTTGTCTTAGACATGGGGTTTGAATTTTTGACGTTTGTCCAAAATTCAAATTTAATTAAAAATTAAATTTTAAGAAAAATTGCACTCTTGCTTTGCACAAAGATTGGCTTATATTCGGAACTGCTTCAAAATAGTGCACATTTAAGATGTATCACATTCTGTGGTGTGGTAGGTTCATAAAATTTGCTTCATCTTCTTAAAAGAATAAAGGGTACTTTTCCGTTTTGCCGGCACAGGCGATAAAGTCGCCAATAATGGTACAACTGATGCCAAATGGAATATCTTCACAGGTAACTTTTTACGCCTCATCTTCAAAACAAGTTGCAGCCATTTCTTATCAGATTGATTGTTTCATTTAATACTGCATACAATTACATAGAATTTTTACCCAGATAATTAAATTTTATGCCCTAGGGTATTTCGCGGTAATTAAGTCGATTAAAATGCAATCATACCACTCACCTGAAGGTGAAAATATAGAAAAGGTAAAGTCAAGAGTTAAATTCATCAATTCTAATGAGAATGCACTAGTGAAGTACGGCACTGCGGTTTTACATAATTTCTGAGTAAGTTATTTGTACGAATTGAAATAATTCCTGCATTTAAACTTATATTCCAAATTAAAATTTAACTTGAAATTAATGTAGATAATTACTGAGAGAATTAGATTTTTGTAGTGTAGTTTACGTGAGATGAGATCACTTGGAGTTACGTGATATGAACTGGCGAATCAGGATGTTGAACCATGAAAGCATAATAAATTCTTAAATTAATGTCTTTTTACAAATTTATTGGCTTTTTACAAAACTTTAAATGATATTAAAATATTTATGCCTTCAAAATAAAAAAATTCTTAGAACTAACATTTGTTAACATTTTTTATGTGTATACTTGTATAAGGTATGTTGTCGCCAATAAAGTCTGCTTGGCGAGATTTGCGCCGCCGAAATGGAAAAGTACCGAATTAAGTACTTCTCTTCAAAACAACTTCAAAACAAAAAAGGCAATTTTTTTTTTGCTATTAGATAATGAGGTAGTAATAAAATATTAGAATTGAACTCTGTCTGCATTGAATAGCTATAATTTAATGCAAATTATACTTCTTAAATTCAGTTGTCTAATCATTGTTGAACCACAGAAATTGGCTTTCAAATGTGTCCCTTATACACCAATGAGCATTCCTGAACACTAGGCTTTCAGCTTGTTCCACCATGTCACTGTGATTAGGATGGGATTAAGACCTTTAGAGGCCTTGAGCATTTAAAAGATTCTGGTGCTTTTGCATATGTTTACGCCAGTTCTACTTCAAACCTTCTCTCTCTCTCAGCTTTGGTTTAGCTGCACCATGCATTCCATGGTAAAACTAGCAATTGAAAAATTTTCAGTGTTCCTTTTCCGTGATGCCTGCTTATATTGCTTAATTGTTAATCCAGCTCTGGCTGTGACATGGAAACAAACATAAATGCTTAAAACAGAAAAGAATATTTTTAGTAATGCATCTAATGGCTGGCTCAAAAGGAGAATGGCACTTGATAAACTCCATCTTTTGAATTGCTTGAATGATATACAAACACTGATCTAAAAAGGTTATTTGGTAATTGTAAATTTGTCTATTTGCTTAAAAAGTGTAATGTAATAGATTAATGTAGTAATATGAAGCAATAGTGTGATGGTTTTATTACATTCTGCATTTGAAAGAGCTGGTTCCTTGGAGTATTAAGATCAAGCATTATTGCTTATGATATTATGTAGTAAGTAAAAATTTTAGGGAGTCACTGAAATATTTGCTATAAATTTTCAGTATTGAATATTCTATGGGTTAGTAAATAAGTATGGTTCTTACATAATATCCTGTTGACCATGAAATTGCCAAGCAGCATGATTTAGCATCAGTTATGGATAAGTGGGGTGTAATAATACACTCACAACATCTGTGCTTTCATTTGATATAAATCATATTGGTTCTTGGTAAGCCACCTTGTGTTTTTATAAACAAGGACAAAAATTAGCTGCTGTTATTGTGTGTTTTCTTCTATTTTGAAAATGTGATTCAAATTCAGATCCTGCTTTCTGCAGATCAGTAGCAGAAGTAGACTATTTTCAAGGTTATGTCACCATAAAAGAAGTGTTTATTAATGAACACAATGTGGTCAGCTGAATATGACAGTAACAGATTAGAACAATTATATGGGAGAAATCTATACTAATAGTGTCCTAAACAGAGAATTGCAGAGTGTAGCAAAATAGTAGAAATTGACAAAAGCCTTTTTACACAGTGCAAAAACCCAAAGCGAGTTTACTAGTTGCTTGTTAATAAGCAGAGGTCCATTCTTTCAAAAATCCGTAGAAATGATGGTGCAACTTCAGTGAGTTTTCCACCAACTGTAATGGTTCTTTAGTAGCCGTCTCTCTTGGTTTATGGGATAATATGCAAGTATCATAAATGTTCTTAATAATAATGTTGTGTTTTGTAAAAATTAATTACTTGAAAAAATTTGCAGTATTATATCTATTTTTATGTAATGACAAACATTCGTAATTTTTTTCTCCCCAGGATGGTGGAATTGAAAGTGAAAAATCATTTTTAAAAGCTGCAGAAATTGTTACAGAGAGTAAGTTGTTTTCAAAATGAAATGATAAATTTTATTGCTAAATTATAAATTTCATATTAGATTTTTCTGATTTAAGCAAAATAGAATAAATTTTACCTTTTCCCTATACTACTATAGTCAACTTATTATTAAATACAAAGATAAACAGTTTTTTTAATTGTGCTGCTGTACAGAACAAGTTAGACAGTTATATATGAACTATATACATTTTGGCAAAATTTAGCTTACGTAGCTCTTCAAGCAGGTAATTCCTTTTAAAGATAGTGACATGTAGCTAAAACTGTTGAATATATTTAGTTTTTTTCCGAGTTTCATTCTTTATAAAAGTGAACTTCTTTTGATTCTGTTTTGTGTTGAGCAGCTGTTGCTTTTTAGATGAAAAAATGTTTTATTGCTGCACAGAACTTAGATATTTCCCATTTCTGTTTCATATCTTATAATGTTTGCTTCAGTAATCTGTTGAAATGAATCACCACTGCCTATTGACTTGAGTTAGTGTGAAGAGTAGCATCTATTAGTGATGGGATCACTTAATAATCTGGTGCAATCTCATAGAAATTTACTGAAGTTTTCAAACAACCTTTGTATTTATTTATTAATTCATAAAATTAGGTTAGAAAAAATAATATATTCATAATCTGAGGAGTTAAACAAGCTTCAGCTGAAAAATTACAATTTGGAATCATAAAAAGTGGTATCCATTAGGCCTGGCTTTAAGACAGAGTGAATCTGAACAAGTGGACTAAACTTTAGGGAGTTATAGACAGCAGCTATACAAGCAATATTTATCATAGAATGTATGATGGGAACGCAAATGGCGAGCCGCTAGGTGGCATTATAATTGAATGGTATGAAAGGATCGGTCCTTCCACCCAATGGCATTTTCTACCATGAATTGCCGAGAGGATTTCTTGCTGGTTATACGAACCATGAAATTTCCAGGGTGGTGGGTTGGTCCAGGTGGTCCCATAGCTTGGCCACCAAGATTACCGGATCTCTCGTGTTTGGGCTTCTTGTGGGGTCATACGAAAAGCATAATCTACAAGTGCCCCATTGAAACCAATATGGATTTAGTCACCAGGATCATCGTATTTGGAGTTGCCGGCAGTATTTTGGGAAATGCCTGGTGTCTTTGCAAATGAGTATCAATAACTACCCGGCACCTGTGAAGCCTCTATTACAGCTAGCAGAAGGTCTTTTGAGCAATTTCTATGAGCATGTTCTGTTAATAAAAGGTTTTCTGAAGTATCTCTTCTCATCCTTGTGTTAATTCTTTAAATGTGACAGTGAAAACTACCCATTACCTTTTCACAGCTTGCATTCTGACCATACATTCTGTGACGGATATTGCTCATATAACTTAATCATGGCAGATCAAGCCCATTAAATACATATTAAATCACCTCTACCTATATTTACTATTCGCAGATTACCGTTGTTTACAAACAAAACCAGACTGTGTTATTACCCTTGAATTTTAGCTGCCTTCTGTCTGTCACATTTCTTTGCCCACTTGTTCAGATTCACCCTGTATATGACCTTCCTCACTGTAATCCCAAAGGCTAGAACTACTGCATACCATGACTAGGTTGAGACAAGCAATACTCATTTGAAAACATAATTGTGTTAGAAACCTGATCATGACATGGGTTACAGAAGTGTTTGTATCCTCAGAATTGCATAAGAAGAGCATAAAAAAATAGGATGTATTTGAGGTTCAGAATTTATACATGTAGCTTATGAAAAGAATCGTTAGCCTTAATGTCTGTTTCTTTTATAAAAGTATGTGTTTTTATAATAATTTGATGATTTTTTTTTTTTTTTTTTTTTTTTTTTTTTTTTTTTTTTTTAGGAATATTTTTTTTTTAACTCGTTCAGTACGGTCATGTCATATGTGCATCAGCAGCAAACATTACCTCACGGCCGGCTGTGTCATATTTGAATCGCCATTTAATTCACTCTATGACTGGGCGTACCACATTTGACTTTTTAGATAGAACGTTTAATTCGTATTTGTTGCCACTAGATGTAGCTCTATGTCTGTTATGGGGAAATGTATCGAAAAGTTAAGTATGTCTACCTTCATTCCTATGCAATGTTTTTTATTCTTGGTATTTTGTTTCGGAATGAGAGGGAGATTCGTGGGTGGGTGTTGAGCAATGTAATGTCTCTTTAACTGCTTCATTTGATATAAACAAATGCAGGTGTTCTGGATGCTTTGAGGTACTTTTTATTTTTGCGAAATAGGTAAGATTATACACAAATGCTAATTTGTTTGTGTTGAGTAACGTGATGGCTCATACTGTGTCATTTCATATAAACAAATGAACATGTTCTGGATGCTCTGGAATACTTTTTAATTTAATTTATTAATTTAATTTTTATTTTATTTTTTATCCCCTTATAGTGGAGTAGATGTTCTATCATTAGAGACTTTTTTATTACTCTTAGATTTTTCCGGCATTGAGACGAATATTTTGTATGGCTTAGCGAAAGTTTTTTTTTTTTTAATGTTCTTTTGATGATGTTCTGTTTTTTTTAATGGCAAAACAAAAGCGCTGTCTGACCATAGAAGATACATAAATGCTAAATGAGTCAAATTTGTTGATATTCTATTCCTGTGACATTTGCTACGTTAGACTTTGCGTACACCCATATTTCAAAGAATATCATACACTGTCTCTTTTTTGAAATATCGCTTCCTTTTCATTGTTTTCACATTAAATTTTTATGAAAGACAGTTTTAATATTTTTAAATTTTAATTATGTGTTGTGTTAAATAAAATCTGCGATTGTTTGGATATTTTTCCATATATATTTAATTGTGGGTTAAAGGAAAAATTATATTGTTCTAAAATGAGTATTTTATAAAATTTTTAAGTAAAATATAACAATAAAGATTTAAATTTAATTCTGACAACTACCTGAATGTTCTTCTCGTAATGTACCAAAATTTGGAACAATTGGATGACAAATTTAATTTATACAAATTTTTTTCTAAAGTTAGGCTTAGCAGCGCAAAATAGCCCGTCCCCACAAGATGGCGTATCTGGTTAACACGCCGTCCGAAGAGAACGCTTCGGTAACAGAGGTGCCTGCCGTGAATGGGTTAATATCCAACTTTGTAACACTGTAACAATTAGCTTGGTAACTTTCTGAGAGTGATAAAAAGGTGTGAAGGAAGAACAATATACATGTGATCAAGTACTCTTAAGTATACTGATAAATAAACATTTATGTGTAGAAAAACTTGTGCATCAGTGAGTTTCTGTAACATCTTTGAAGATAGATTTAAAACATAGCCAATGAATTGTTAGCCTCAAATGTAAATTTTTTAATGTGAATAAAATTGTAAAAACATTAATATGAACATTGTTGCATATTTATGTAGATGACTTATGCAAGAATCTGCAGTGCAAACCACATCAGGTTTGTCTCGTGGAAGATGATGATGTGGCTGTTTGCATTAGCAAACGAAAGCTTAGTGCAAAGGAGTAAGTAGCTGATTTTTAATTTAACTTTTTCAATTGTTTTTAAGTTATGTTTTCAAATTTGCCTGAAACGTGTATGTTCCGAATGACAAAGCTAGAAGATCACTGGAAGCTACACTTTTTACATAAATTCACATAAGACATCAAACTCAGAATCATGGCTATGATACTTTACTCGAAAGCTTTGCAGGCATTTAGAATATACATCCAAATAGCTTTCATGCCATGCCACTGGGTGTTTTCGAACTAAGGGAATTGTTTTTTCATCTATACCTATTATGTGTTGATGGGGTTATATATTTTACTGCTGAAATAAATGTACTATAACAAAAGCCAGGAATTGATATGGGTGGTTCGCTACATGTCGTGTGCGGTGCTAAAGTCTCTCTATATAACATGGATTCTCAGACAGGGGCAAAGTTTCCCCCTAAAAGGGAGTTTTATGCAATCTGTTAAGTATTTGGTTTCAATTTATGAATATAAAATAATATTATTCAAGATTTGGTATTTATCAACACTTTTTCTTTTTTAATTTATAAAACGAGTTAAAAAAAGTCTAAATGAATTTATACAATGTACATTTTTTAAGTTTTGAATAGGAGATCACATCTGCTTTTGTGCCCAAAATCCTATCTTCCATTCATCATTCTCTCTGTATATATTAAGGGATCTAATATTTTTCATTATCTTCCTTGTGCAGTCACAGATCCAGTACCACCTAAAATGAAATCTTCTTGGCATGATAGTTTTTGATTTCATCTTATTGAAGTAAAAATTGTAGCCACTCATCTGGCAAGTGTTGCAGGAAATGTATTCATCTGAACTCACAAATCTGCAATGGTCTTGTGTTAATATTCTCAGAATGAGGCAAAATACTGTTTCTACTAATGCATCATTAAATATGAGTACTATGTCAATTTCCATTGCCTGCATTCTGCAGCATGCATTGTGCTGTATATTTGCAGACATTTTTGGGTCCCGATTGTTAACCCTGAAATTTGCCTTTGTTGCTGTTGCCTTGTAATGACTTTATATCAATGTAGATGTTCTGTGCAGCCCAGTCATGCTGTTTCGCTGTTATACGCATAACAGTATTTGCTGGGCTTTAACATGCTAGTCAATGGTACATGTTCGATGATAGATACTTGATATTGCTTTAAGTAACTCTAGGATTGTTGTCATTCCTAAAATAAAATTATTCTTCTATTGCAGATCAATATTGTGGCTTTTAACAAAGTCATTAATATTACTACAGTTGCTATTTTGATTAACTGCAGTATACTTCTAGGAAATAAAGATGTTCTGTGTATTTCTAACTTGCATATGGCTAGAGTGCATTCCACTTTAAGGAGGTTGTTCTTGTGTGGGGGGCATATATATATTTATATGTAAGGTAAAAAATAATATAAAATTATAATTTAAATTAGCTTCGTTGTGCGTAATTTTAATTTGGATATTTCCCCTCTCTATTCTAAAAATAATAATAACTTTTTTTAAACTGTTTCATTTGGATACTAATCAATACCACATTTGTTTCACATAATGCTGATGACATAAATGAAACTAAAATGCAAATAGACAATAATAATTTTATGGCATTATTAACTATCCAATCAAATGCATTGAAACTGAAACTGATTCTGAATTCAGATTACATACTGAATACAAGGCACTTTCACTTCTACCTCTGTTGCCACAAAGACTGCTGCTTTTCTTTCTTTTGCAAAATAATACCAAAGACATAACTCTTCTGGAACAAGCACAATTAATGTGCCATGTATTTTTGGCCACAGAATTTTTAACTGCAATAAAAAGAAATATTATTTAAGTATCTGCTATGACTGCTTCTTATTGTATCTATATGACTTCCAAGTTTCTTCTTCATTCTACATCTACTTTGTATGCTTTAACATCTCTCTGCATCATTTGCAGTTCATCACATCTAATTAAAGTCTGGCATGACGAGCTTGTGAAAATGGTCCCTGCTTGAATGACAGTTATTCTGCTGAATTAAATTGCAAGTTTAAAAGTTCTAAATTGTTTAACCGGAATTCTAAGTTCTTCGAAAGTAGTATCAAGGGAAAAAAAAATTGTTTTGCTGGTGGTTTTCTAGTGCTTAAATTTGCAATCTACTTATGCTTTTTAAGTTAGTAAAAAGAAAATCATCCATCATAATATATTCACAAATGAATCAAGTTAGCAGGCAGCATTGATCTTTATGGTTCTTTATTACACTTCAGCTATATTATCAGCTAAATTAAATCACATTCTTTTTCAGAAGTGCAAGTATGAAAATTATGCTACAGATTTTTAATTTTGCATCTAAATTTAGTGAAGCATTGCCAAAGTTTGATTGTACTGCTTTGAAAAAGGAGGAAATATTGTTAAAAAAATTCATATTATTTTGTTAATAATGTATGCTAAATGTTCTTCATTACTATGAAATAAGTAATTTATTAAACTATCATTACTTTGAAATTTATATATCTAATGTTATTCTTATTATATTGGATTTTAAAAATTTAGTACTATTTTTATGAAAATGATTAAAATTTTATTGTATTAAAATTTAATTTTTCAGAATTGTGTTTATTAAAATTAAGTAACCAATTTAAAGATTTCAAAATTATTTTATTTAGGGAAAGGTTATTGAAAATTTATTATTGTACTAATTAGAAATGAGATTAAAAATTTGAATTTTTGAAATTGCGGTAAATGTAAGGAATGAAATATAATACATAAAATGTATATAAATAGTGTTTTGAGTACCCTATAAAAAATATTCCCTATTTTGATAGTTAAATATTGTTATAAAGAATGTAGAAATACGAAAAATTTTAGAAATTAATATGTTATGAAAATTTTTAATTTGTTTTGATTATTCAAAATAAGTCATGCGTGTATAAAACCTTTATACTTGTCAAAAGACTTCCCTGAACAAATATTTATATTGATTCTAAAAAAGGAAAAAAGATTTGTATTTTCCAAAATTATATTTCCCTTGATTTTTTCCTGCTTTAATGCTTTTTCTGTAAAAAGGCTTCTGTGTCTTTTTTCTGTTATTAGGGGAAATATTAATTAGATGTAATAATTTGGGAATGACATAGATAGATGTTGAAGATGACATAGTACATCCGGAAGGAAGAAGCAACTTGGGAAACATATAAATGCAATGAGATGCAGTCATGGCGGATATAAGTCATATTTGTTTTATTGTAATTAAACATTTTGTGGAAACAAAAACTTAGCACATTAATTATGCCTGTTCCAGAGCAGTTACATTTTTTATATTGTTTTCTGAAAGAAGGGCAAGCAGCAGTCTTTGTTCAGAATGAAATCATAATTCAAAATAAGTTCATTTTGATTTCAATATGACTGGGAATAAGTAATGCTGTAAAATTATTATTTTATGTTTGAGTTTGAGTTTCATTTACATTACCAGTGTTTTATGAGAGTTAAATTCTTAGTACCGAAATGGCCAGTTCAGAAAAAATTAATACTATTTTTTTTAAATAGATAAAAGGAATACCCAAATTAAAACTAAGCATTAAAGAGCTATTGCTAATTTAAGTTATAATTTATATTAACATATTTTATATCTTACATATAATACAGCTCGACATAGAAAATACAACACCATGAAAGACTGGGTAGAATGTGATGTCAATATGTTCACAGACAGAACATGCATATGAAAATAAGTTATGTTGCTTATACAAAGCTAAGTTAATACAATGATGATATATACAAGGAATCAGTAAGATGTATTACCATCTCTCGCGGCGATGCAAGCTGCAACCCTACAAGTTACAGATTCAGTTAGTGTGTGGCTATTGTCCTGACGGATGGAAGCCCATATGCTCTGAACCCTCCTCCAAAGTTAGTCTTCTGATAATGGCTGGGGCAGAGCAGACAAGCAATGGCTGATCATGTAACAAATTTGTTCGATTGGTGAAAGATCAGGGGACAACACAGGCCAAGGAAGTAATGGAATATGTTACAAGGTTTGTCGGCTAGCAAATGCCTTGTGTGGTGTCGCGTTATCTTGCTGGAAAATACGATTTCATAGCTTACCGATGTGGTGTTCAGCAAGAGTAGTCAGATTGGTTAGGTGTCCCATGCGTCTTCAGACTCTTATCCAGTGACTATATTCAGAAAAACAAAACCAAGGTTCATTGCTGAATACTACATTGTGCCACTCCAAGTAGTCCAAGTAGCTTGCTGACAGCACCATCACAGTCTTTTGCATCGATGATTTGGCTAAAATGGCAGTCTTCGTAGAGGGTGGCTTGTGTGCAAGCTGCTTTCAGTCAAGTGTCAGGAAACTGTTCTTTCAGTTATAGGAGCATCCAAAGCTCCTTGCACATTCTGCAAAAAGTCGATTGTGGGGCTGCCACCTTTTCTCTTCTTATGCATTTGTCCATGCTAGCCATGATACGATGGTAAGACTAACTAGCCATACATAAACCCTTGTAAAATCATCTGTCTGGCAGAATTTCCTACGTTGTCTCTTTCAAGGCTCTGTTTATTCACATGTGTCTTCTGGTTCATTGAACTTTTTAAAATACTGGATTTTTTAAGCTGCAGAGAGTAGCAGCTGTTGGTGTATCCACCATTTCCTTTTCTTTTATCTTCTGTCATAATCATGTGACCAAACTTGCATCTTATATCATCTACATGGCATGCATATTTCTTAAAATTTGAATATTTATACGGCCAAATCTTTATGATGTTACATTTTCTATATTGTGCAGTGTGTATAAATAAAAGTTGAGAAATTTCAAATTAAAATGATATACATTATTTAGTATTAAAGTTATGCAGTATGGTGCAAATTAATACAATACAAAGTCCGTAGTCTGGACTCGTCGGGACTTCGGCGATTCCGGATTAGGGTTTTTTCCGGATTATAGATCATCAATTTAAATCTGTTAAGATGGCATGCAGAAATTATACAATTAAAAATATGAAACCATAATTAATGAAATAAAGAGCAATTATGATCTAAAGGGTATTAAAACTTACAAAAAAAAAAAAAGCTTAATATTTATTTGTTTACTTTATTAAACATTTCTTTCAATGTAAGTTGTTTAAGTTGCTTCATTTTTTGTGCTAATACTTTCTCTTTAATTCTATAAACAGACATAATTTCTTGTTCAGTTACAAAGTTCCACTGTTCAAGTCCTGTAATTGATGTGTCGAGAATATGACTAACTTGTCAATCAAAATTTTTTCATTTTCTGTAACCTCTCTGTCACTTTCTTCACTATCAGAAGCATTATTTTCTGGATCTAGAACCATACTACAGATTTCGTCATCCATTAATTGATTGATGATTGGGGCATTGTCGTTGCAATGGAAAACTTCTATTATATCATCTTCATTATTACCACTTTTCCACATTTCTTTACAAAATCCAATAACTGGAAAATTTCACCTTTAGTTTGTAATGTCCATAAACCTTCAAATTTGCGGCTATCATCATCATCGTCCTCACCATGAAATATGGTAGCTGGCCATAAACTATGTCAAGGATTTTTTAACATTTCTAGAGACACATCCTCCCAACGTGCATGCGTAAAGCATACAAAAAAAAAAAAAAGTTTGTGGTTTTGAGGTCCGGATTATAGATTATTCCGGATAATGGACGTCCGTATTACGGACTTTGTACTGTATTTATCGTATATGTTGTATTTTAAGTGCATAGATGCTACTGGTACTTTTAACAGCTTTCAATATCCATCATGGCTGATGGTTAAGGCATGCTGATGAAGATAACAAAACTGGATCTTGACAGATCACCAATCTTTATTTTTGCACATATCGAAAATCATGCTTTTGCAGACAAGATATTTTTTAATCATAATGAGAACAAAATTTCCATGTACACGGGTTTTAAAAGTACCACATAAGCATTTTGGACAGGACAGCATAAGAGGAGCAGAGTTGTTTGCAGGGTAGAAGCTAGGAAAAGGAATGATGTAATTGTTTTGCATTGTATTTATACCTAGTAGATGCAGAAAGTACTTGAAGCTGCGATTGGTTAATTTTAGTTTTCGTTACCTTTTTCAAGCAGCGTTATGTAACATGGAAAGACCTTGAATTACGGAGAACAGCTGAATTAAAGAGTGAGAGCATAAAATCTAAAATAGTTAATTTTGAGGTCGCCAATTATATCTTAGATATGTATGCATGCATGTACCTATATACACATTAAGACATTCATATATAATCTGAAACTGTTAAGATTTTTATTCATCAATTTCTGCTGTGCAATGTGAACTTAGCAATTCTGAATGTTGCATGTTACCTGAAGTGCTGCAAGACCCTGCAAGCAATATGCAGAACCATGTCTCTTACATATAGGTAGGTGGGACCTATATGTCATGTCCTTGTTATAGTCCAAATTTAGCATGAAGTTTTGCATGTAGTGTTAGGCTGACATAGTGTTGAGCCAAATTTAGCATGTAGTGTTAGGCTGAAACATGGTCATTGAAGCTGATGTGCATCCAACCAAACAATTTTGGAGAACTGATAAATGTTCAGAATGCTGAAGAAGATGCTTTATAATGGTGCAGAGTATTAAATCAAGCAATAAGATGCTCTGAAATTATATAATCATTTTTCGAATCATTCATAGATCATATCTGAAAGGCATAGTATATTACTGTTAATAATTTTTGCTATACTATATTTATAAGCAATTACATTTTTAAAAAAATCTAATTTTAGTATAATCAGTTATTGCAATAATATTGAATTTCTGTTTTCTAAAGCTATGGATCAATATGTATTTTTTTTTTCTGTAATGCATCCCTTTCAATAATGTTAATAATGTATTCTTGAAGTTTAAATTTTATTGTAAAAAATTAATTTCTAGAAACATGCTGAAACTCGCAGCATCAAAAAAAGTTAAAAGTAAGGATCGTAACAATGATGACGTATTCTGGGAAAAAGGAGAAGAAAATGAAAAGGAGGATTCCAACTATGAATCTCAAAATCCATGTATACCTTGTCCAGTTTTAAAACCAGAATTTGTTTGTGGATCTGATAATCATACATATTCTTCAGTCTGTCGTTTGGAATTTCGCAACTGCATGCACAAAGCTTCTGTGAAAGTCAACTGTAAAGGGTTTTGTCCCTGCAAAAGTAAGTAAAAGGTTTCACCTCATTTTATAGTATCTTTATTCAAGGGCAATGTACTTTTTTTATTGTTTTTTTAAGATATTAACCATTTATAGTTGTTTAAATTATGAAAAAATTATACATTTAAATTTCTCCCTTATAAGTAACTGGGAAATTGGACTGTAACTATTTACAATACAATTTCCAAGCCCATTATAATATGTTTCATTTAAACTTTTCAAATCATAAAAATATTATTTTTTAAAGGTTTTTGGAAAATTTTCTAACTGTAAAATAAAAGGAGTCTTACAAATTATGCTTACAAAATTACAATTATTTTTGCAAGATATAAAAACGTATGTGATTTTTTACTTTTCCTTCTTTAATAAAATATATCATTCCCCTAAACCAAAATAAAAATATTTGTCTTAAAATAAAAGTATATATCCAGGTTAATTTATCTGTCTGGAATAATATTTATAATCCAAATTTAAATAAATTGTCTCATTTTCATGTGATTATTTTCTCCAAAACTTTCTACTACTATTGTTTAACTTTCTTACTAATAATTTATTTTGAAATATTAGTTTTAAAGCCCAAACTTTGTGTTAATTTGCAAAAATGAGTACTGTTATGTATTCTCATTTTAATACATTCTGTCTATGTATCTCTATATCAGTACATCTGTGTAAAAATTCATATACTTACATTATCAGTTAAAAGGTTCTGGGTGAAATATCTTTAAATTCTGTCTTTAGAATGTTTATTAGCAACTAGGTATGATTGAAGTTAAGCTTTCAAGCATCACAACATACCCAATAGTGTTTTTCAGCAACCATCTTTTTCAGTTCTTCACTTAAATACCTCCATCTAATGCCTAACATATTATTTTTAAACACTTCAGAGGAAACCTCTTCAAGATGTTTATTGTTTTCAGTTCACAGATTTTGTGACCTTGTAAAATAGAAAATATTTGTGAAGAACTTAGTACAAATAATAATATAAAAGTGCAGTTATGTCTTAAATAATTCTCTTCTTTAGTAAATAAGTACACAAGTCTTCATGTATAAATAATAATGAATGTGGCATAAATTTACTATGAAGTAATATTATAGCAAACCTTTTTTCTAACATTTGTTTTTGCTATTTTAAATATAAGATTTTGACTAATAATTTTAATTTTGGGAGTATTAATTCTTAACCAGTTACCAAAATTGATTAGCTTAAAATTGTTTTGATGGCTAAACTGAAATCTGCATGTCAAGATTTGATTGAAATTTTTTTAAATTTTATAATCCTTGTACTTTTTTTAATTTTTAAATCTTTTATTAGCTTTGTGGTAGATTATAATCTAAAGTTTTCTCTTTTCCCCCTTTTTTTAATAAGGGTACAAAAATATGCATGGGAATATTATATTCATGTACTTTAGAATTCTTTGTTTTCTATGACTGGAAATTTTATTTGAAAACAGCATTTTAATCATTAAATGAAATCCAGCATAGCAGTTTCAAAGCAAATCTCACGAACAAATCTACCAAGAAGTAGATTTGCTTGTGAGATTTACTGTTAACTGGGATTAGTGTAAGTGTGAATAAATTTAGCAGCTGCCTATTTTATATCCCAAAACTGAAATGTTCTGAATGTAATGTTTATTGCAGGTTTGAAAAATGAAAAAATACATCAGGATTGATTGTGAATGTTCATTCAGGTGCATTTTGCAAAACTACCAAAAAAGTCAAGAAAGCAGATGAAATTTTAAAAAAGCCTTCTTATCTTATTGACTACAACATTTACTTGAAGGCGACATGATCATGAAAATCAATGTATCTGTTATGATATTATAGAAAAAAACTTTGAAATAGCAAAAGCAAGTTGTAATGTTATTGACAAACTGTGCCTATTTAACTCCTGTTTTGTGTATAAACATCTAAATAACATCTAAATAACTACTGAGATACAAAAAAATATGTTTATGCAATTCGATGCAAATGAGCATTAAAATCTGCAATAATATCAAGAATCAATGCCTTTTGCATCCAAATTCTTTTCAAGTGAAAACAATAATCTAAGGTTATCAGCTGACCACTGCAAAAATAAATTAGAAAAAGTCAGTATTGTTGAAATAAAACATCTCACTCAAAAGTGTTGCCCATACATAGTTCTTAAAAAATGTGGTGAACCTGATACATTTTCATTTTTTGTAAGATGTTTTTATAGAAGATTACTTTGAATGTTGCCATTCCTTAATTAAATATGAATAATTATTTTGTAAAACAGATTTTTTTTAAATTTTTATTTTTACCCCCTCCCCCCCAAAAAATATATATATGCTTAGTATTCAGTCTTTCTCTTTTAAGTGCTTCATATCAATAGCATTCAATAATATTAATCAGTTATCAAGTTGATCAGTATGGACAGCAGTTGAATTTGCCTGCTACACATTGAAAAATGTTCAAAATCACACCCATCTGCAAAGCATTATTTAAGGGAAGTGTGAAAATAGTATGCTTCATCGTGGTCATTCTTGTGTAATGTTTTGTGTACTTATATTTTGATCCCTTGATTTGTTTGTTTCACATGATGTTGTATCATAACAGCATTTTCTCTGTGTGTATTAGTTTTAAGCCTTCATTTGATTGGCAATTGTGTCTGTGTTTCCGGTGTGAATATAAGGTTGAATTTCAGGTCTTTGGTAATATATATGTCCAAATATATAAATACTGGAATTAAAAAGTGCTAGATGTAATTAGTATCATAACTTATTAATTTTATTTCGATACTTCTCTAGGTATAAAAAGTGATATTGATAAAAATAAGGAATGGCAAATGAAAGATCGTTGGAATCGTTACATGAACAAGTACCAGAATACTGTTAAAAAACCGAGTTCAGTTCATAAATCTACAAAGAAGTCACATTCAGTTAGTCAACTAATTGAAACTTCAAAAACACAGATTAGCAAGTTAGTATATTTTATCAGTTTCTGTAAATTATTAAATAATATTTATTTAAATTTCTATGCAATAAATACTTTGTATCATTGAATACTAAGTATATTATTCATTATTATTTAATTTGTTAATAAGTGGTAGGATTTATGATGAAAATGAGTAATAAATTATCTAACTTTTATCGGTGTCTTATTAAAACATAAATTACACAGTTATCATCAGTAATTTCAAAGTATGGATTGTGAGACTTTTGGTGTGAATAGAGTTGAGCTTTTGGGAGCAGCTTTTTTTATTTTTATCAGGCACATCCAAAAGCTCTTCATTTCTAAGCCTGATGTATGAAATTTGCTCTATCAAAATCACAAGCTATTTCAAAAGTTTGTAAGCATTTCAAGTACTGGCCTCAGAATTATTTTTAAATGCATTTCATTCCTGGTGGGACTGCTTATCCATATGTAGAAGCCAACTAGTTTATTCAGAAAAAATTTTTCCATTAGTAAAATAATGGTTAGTGAAATGTCATGTTTCATAGTCGGAACTGAAAAAAGGAAGAGGAAAAATATAACAGGGATAATTCTCATTTGGATAATCAAGTTGAGTGCGCATAGTAAGAAAATAGGTGTATTCTTTTAATTAAGTTTAATTTGGATAAGCATTGAAATTTAGCATTAAATATAGTATAAAATATAGCATTGAAATTTGTAAAGCTTTTTAATTTTATCTAATTTCTCATTGAACAAAAGGAATGTGTGTGTGTATTATATGAATCGGCTGTGTTCTGCCTGTTTTAATTATGTGCATTTCGTTTTCATTTGCATTTTCTGTAAGCACTGTTTTAATAATGTGCATCTCTTTTTCACTTGCATTTTCCATAAGTGCAAGAGATGCTTTTCTTTTTTTTTATTAATTACTAATAATGTATTATATCAATAAAATATTGTAAAATCGTCATTTTTATTTATTTTATAAGGATTACTGAAGAAGTCAGTGAAAATCTGTAACTATTTCAGATCCTTTTTCAGATCTTGCTTTAAAATATTGTGATTAATATAATTCATAAAAATTGGTAAAAGTGTATTTTAATAAAATTAACCAGAAAAAAGAAAAGTGAAGGCAAATGTTGTAGGCATTTAAAAGTATTTTTAAGTAATTCTAATTATGACTTATTTTGTAACTGATCTAAAAATTTACATATGATTTTTTTTTTATTTGCAGGGATGTTACAACCGCAGGCACTGACACTATGCAGAAACCATCCAAACAGAATGCTAAAATTGTTGCTACACCTATTGTTGAAAAAAGTTTGTTTTACTTCATTTTATGTATTGTAAAAAATAAAAAAAAATATTCTTTTCCCTAATGGAAAGGCCATACTTGTAATTTCTGCTTTCTTTTAATGTCTGAAACTATTTTTATTCAAGGTTGCAATGAGAATGAACTGAAAGCTATGGGAGATCGCCTTTTGGATTGGTTTTCTGTTGTTATGGCTGATCATCGTCGAGGTCAGTCCCGTAGGCGCTCTTTCCGCTTGAGTCATAGTAAGATTGTTTTTATATTTGTTAGATTTATTTTTTCTCTTATATATTTCAGTACTTGCATATGCTTAATAATAATGAAAAGCATGCGTTATTCCATTATTGCATGTAAAAATATGACTGTGAACTTTTTCATGTAAATAAAAGACGTATTTGTTTTCAAGGTGAAAGAAAGATTTATTCAGAGTATTTTCCATTAGAACAACAACATTCACCCATATGCGAAGATAGGTATGTAAGTAGATTTCATGAAGGGAGAAGTCTAAAACAATTTAGTCAGTCAGTTGACTGTGATATCATCGTAAGAACTCATAGGCTGCGTAGCATGGATTAAAATAAATAGCTATCTGATAGTATCATTATGGTAATAAATATCTTGTGAATATGATGAGTGGAACAAAGCATCCCAATGAAATGTTTCAAGAATTTCCTTATAATGTATGAATGAGCACTGCCGTGCTGAAAATAATCTTGTTGCGTCTTTTGGCATATTTTTAGTGTTTTTGCTTCACTGCTTTTTTTTTTTTTTTTTTTTTTTTTTTTTTTTTTTTTTTTTCAAATTGATTTACTGCTATTTTCAACCTTCAGCAATGTCTGTCTAACTCGGTTGAAGCAGCTGATAATAAACTATGTGCTTTTAATCACAATGTATTGAATGGTTCATCTTGATCCACTCGTGCCATTGGTTGTTTCAAGATTCTTGCCATGATTTACATCTCCAGAAACATTTTGATGAAAAGAAAAATAAAAACCTTTTCCTTTTTGTATTTGAAGCAGCAGTTTGCATATGGCTTCTTAGCTTCCAATGTCCCTCTGTTTCAGTTCGTATGGAATCTAATTTCCTTGCTTTCAAGTTATTCCCAATGCATGAAGATGTTAAAAAAGACATGATTGAGTAGCATTAAATGCTACAGCGTATTTAGATTGCATTTACCAAGGATCTTCAACCAATAATGTTTCTAATTCTTCATCTTGACTTTTTTTTTTTTTTTTTTTTTTTCAAATTTTATTTCCCATTCTCATTCCGATGTGTATCAAAATCATTGTTTTGGTACCATTTTTTTGCAAGCTTCTTTCAATGGAGCATATTCACTGTAAACTGCCCGTAGCAAGTGGTATGCTTCTGCTGTAGATATCTTTGCAATAAAATAGTAAGTTGAAATTCCCACAAATGCTATTCTTATGCAAACATTTTTAATGAAGCAAAAGTAATTATTTTTAAAACTTTATGTCAATAGCCCACCACCAGCCAAGTGGTAAAACTGTTGTTAACTATTTACATGGTCTCTCAGCTGCATCATCTTCACCCAACTTATGCTTTAGACATTCTTTTTGGTTGTACTGCTAAATGCAACTGGATGTTTTGCTTCCCCCCCAAAAAAAAGAGTTTATTACTTTTTCAGGGTTTTTGTATGGTACTTAAAAATACTTAAAAGTTCTTAAATTTAGTGGAAACCATTTTTGGTCCTTAAAAGTGCTTAATTTCAGGTCAAAATCAGCAAATGATCCTTAATTTTGCTCATCTGACATTTATATCTGTTTTTTTATGACTGCCATTTTGAGTATAACTTAACATTTTGGAGGAATATTTTTGGCAGCGTGTTAACAAATATGTATTTGATGGGTTAACATTTGTATTCTTTCCTACTTAAAATAAATGGTGGATGCTCAAGTTTTAGGCACAAAGGCCTGCCTTAGTTGAAACATTAATGTTTTGAAATAATTTCTTTAATTGTGAATAAGCAGTTCATAAAATATTACATCAGAAACAAATTTTTCCTTTTGGGGGTATGAGCTCTTTTATTATGCAATGCTAAATTTGGCAACTTTACAACATTTTGGCAATTTCAATAATATCAGTTTGTATGAAATTTTTTTTATTTGGAGATACACAAATTTTGAGAAATTTTTTTTTTACGAGCATTAAAATTTGATTTGAGCATTGATAAATAGCATTAAAAATAAAGTATTTTTATTTTCTCTTGCCCTATCTTGATGGCATTACTTTTCTTTTTTGTGATTTAAGAATATTTTGACTCTGGAAAATAAACAAAGTAATAAATGCTATGAACATGAAGCACAATTTCCAAAATTCTTTTTCTCCTTTTGATCTCAGAAGTCTCTTTTTTAGCATATTTATTCTCCCTTTATTTTCTTATCCTTCCACTAGAGACAGGCATTGAAGCAGACAAAAGAAATTGAACTGCCAAGTTATTAAAAAATTGATCTGGTATGTCTCAGGCCACTATACATACTTCAGTGCCTTGTCAAATTTCTGAGAATTTTGCCATCCTTAGATTTTGTTGCTTGACAAAATTCTATAAATTCTGCCACAGTGACTCTGGCACTGTCTCTGATTTTATATTATTTTATATTAATTCTCAATACTCATATTATTAAAGAAATAAAAGTAGTAGTTTGTTCTATACAGTCTATGTAACGGCACATCTTTAGAATAATGGAAATCTTTTAATTAAATCTGAAAATTCTAAAGTGAAGAGGAAACTCGTTGAAGAAACTTATTTCCTAAAAGAAAGAGTACTATTCTTCAAAACACTGCGCAAAAAAAAGGGGGGCTCAGTTCTATATTTCCCATTCTACTGGGCCGATTGACAAAATTCAAGTTGTGTTTTTCATGTCTCGAAAGTACGACTTAGGATATATATTAGATTTACATATAGCATTGTTCTAACATTGGTATTTTGACACAAAATCTCACTTTTTCTGAAATAACATACCAATTTTTTTCCATATTTCATTTCTACAACTCAAATTATACCTAAATATTAAATTTTGTAAAATTTGGTGCAAAATTTATGGAGAAATTCAAAAATTTTTCTTGGCAAATTTTTTTCAGTTTGCGCCAAGAATAACTCACTTAAAATACAATAACACGCCGGACAAATATTAATTTAGTAGTTAAACAACAAAAATCAGCATTATATTTTCAAATTTTCTCAGGACTAGTTTCGATGGTTTTACCGAACCATCATCCTCAGCTGCAAAAGCGCAAATGCAATAAATAATTCACTTGCCAAACTTCTTAATATATGGCAACCTATTTTCTTTCCCTTCCATTGCACAGGAGTGGGCAAAAAGTCCATCGTTCCTACTTTCAAATAATTTTAACAAAGTACCTAAACCATATTTGACGTTATTATTGCTTTTAATAAATATGCCAAATTTCAAAACATGCCACTATATAAATTCATGTATATTTTCGGAAATTTTGAATAAAAAACTGTAATTTTTTTTTGCAGGTTTGCTTATTAATACATCTACTTTAAAATTATGGTAAAAATTTTATAAATTATAATTCAAAATTTTTTCCAAAAAATTTATAAAAATTATTTAAAAATACAAATTTTAAAAATCATAAAAAATGGACAAATTTTATTTGGAATGAACCTAAATTTTGAAATGTGAAAGGAAGAATTAAATAAGTTTAATAAAAAAAGAGAGATTAATAAATATATACCAAACTGACTTAACACTGAGGAGCTAATTTTTTAAAAACTACTCATGCGATTTTTACAAAACTTGGCAGTTTGGCATAATTTGAATTGTAGAATCGAAATATGGAAAAAAATTGGCATGTTGTTTCTGAAAAAGTCCAATTTTGTGTCAAAATACCTATATTAGAATAATGCTGTATATAAATCTAATACATATCCTAAATCACGCTTTCGAGACATGAAACACACAAGTTGAATTTCATCAATTTGTGCAGTAAAACGGAAGATATAAAACTGTCCTCCCCCCCCCTTTTTTTTTTTTTTGGCACAGTGTCAATGTACAACAAACATTACATTGTACATTGTTAAAACAGATTAGGAGATGAAGCAAAGACTAGTGAAAACATTGGCTTGATTATTAAAAGGAATAAACTTAGAAAAGATACTAAACAGAAGGAAATTGATTAAGTTAGCTAAAATATCTGGAAAGTTTCAAAATTAAAAAAAAAAAAAAAAAAAAAAAAAAAAAAAAAAAAAAGACGCATAAATATTTGTTTGTTTGTTATTGCTACAAAACTTAAAGATCTTGTATTAATTATTGTAATATCATTTTAGACATATTCTTAGGGCTTTTAATGGATATTTTTTAGAAATAAAAAAAAAAATTGTAACCATGTAAGTCTATTAAGACTAATGCTATCTAACTATGTAATTTAATTATTTATAATTAACTGCTCACTTTATTGAGGTGAGTTATTACCTTTTCTTAATCATTATTGTGAATGTAAGATACAGTACAAAAATGTAAAAATTAACATAAAACTTTATTCCTTGCAACTAATGAGACTTAAATAATACAAAACAACCTATAAGCTCTGGTGCTTTGGCAGGTTTTCTAAACTTTATATTAAATAATGATATTAATTGGGTTACAACTCCAGCAAATCTGTGTGAAGCTATGACACTAGCTGTATCTGAGAAAGTGCTGCCAAATTTCAACACTTGCCAACCATATCTGTGTCAGGTGTTCATATCTGTTCTGATCAGCGCTCTCTGTCTCTAAGCAAGCAGCTTTGGAAACAGCCAATCTTTTGTGTCCTTTTCCTGAGTGATTACATGACAAAATGAGGCATAAAAAAAAACTATATAAAAGTAACTGTTGGTAAAATTTAAGTAAAAATTCATTTATCTTCTGTAAAGTATGTGGTACTATTATATGTGTAAAACGTTTCAAGGAAATTTATAATTTAAGGTTAATTACGTGAAAAAAATTATGATTGATTTTACTCATGAATTTGCTTTATAATTAAGTTAAGTATTAGATTATGTTTAATAATAATGCATCTTACTTGCAGATTTATTTTATTCTTAAAAATTACAAAAGTGGTATCTCAGAAATGAAGTTTGAATATAGATAATTGCTTTAGTTTATTAAGTTCCTATTTTCTGATAGGTCCTTAACATTTTTGGTAATCCTTAAAAGTACTTAAATTTCCAGGTGCAGAAATGTGCATGAACCCTGTCTTTTTGGCTGAAAGTCTGTTAGTA